TATGTTTGTTTATCGCATTGTGATAAAACAACAGTACTTACAAACATCAGATTTTTAATAACATAATTCTCCACTGAATATAGGCATTTGGAATCTGTTTTATTATCTATTTCATATTTTTAACACTAACAAATTTTTCAATAACAAACTCAACGACTTCAAGGCTAGCAAACGGCAAAAATGTAGAGAAAAAAAAAAAATCCAGGCACAAGACTGCTTATCGGAAATTTTAAAGATATGCTCATTTTAAAATTATTTTGTGATATTGCTGTTGAATTGAATTTTATGTTCAAAGTTCAAAAAACATGATATTTAATAAATAATGGTAACACACAAAATGTTAAAAAAAGCTCTTTCGGACGTAATGTAAAATCTCATTTTTATTCCCTATCCCTTGATGAGAGTATATTAAATTCATTTTTATTGTACTGACCACTATTTATGACATTTTTTCTTTAAGATGTAAGGGATTAAAGTGAGCATCAACTGTTAGTTGAACAATGTTCAAAAACATTAATCAGGATATCTGTACACATACAGACATGTATCTAGACAATTAAAGTAGTACATATACATAGACAATTGCAATATCCATGTTATATTAACATTGTTTATTTATAACATTATTTTATTTTTTGTACTCAATAGCGTACCCAAGAGAGCTTAACATTTTGCAATCAGCTATATACAAGGTGAGCCAAAAGTTCGTTAAAACTTTAAAAATTCATAAAAAAAAAAAGAAGAAATTATGATAGAGAAGTGCAGTTTGCAAGAGAGGGTTCACAGAGAAAGAAAGTTGGATTTTTTTTAGTAGCAAAAAAATTTTTAGTTAAAAATGTCACCGGTAAAGGATGCTGACAACTTGAAACACAATGAACAGGACAACAGTAAGCTCCATTCATTTATTCTTACAATAACAACTGTTCAACATGACCTCCAGAACATTGTATGACACAACTAAGGCGACTCACGATGTCCGTTACAGCTGGATGCAACACATCAGAATGAACTGCAGAAACCTCATGACAGATAGAATCTTTGATTCAGCCAATATTGAAGAGGTGATAAGTGATTTCAAATAGCACCACAACCAGAATGAGGTCAGGTGATCGTGGAAACCATGCAATCTTGCAACCTCAGCTGATCACTCTGACTTCAGCAAAGGTACTCAGTAGGAATCGTCTTACTGGATTGGCATAGTGTGGCAGTGTGCTATCCTGCATGAAACTTATTACAGATAATGCACCTCTTTGATTTAATGCTGGCACGACTTTGTCACACAAGAGTGAGATAATACTTAGCAGCTACAGTGCACATTTTCTAGCCAGATATGGGACACGGTTCTTCAAAGAATTGTCCAACAATGAAAGATGAGGTGAAGCCACATCAGATTATTAACTTGGCTGGATGCAGTGACTCCTTTGTGTATTGACGAGGATTTGACGTCGCCCATATACGAGTATTCTGGGTATTGACATCCCCATGTAGTGTTAAATGTATCTCAACCATCCAGAAAATGTTGAACAACCAAGGTTCACTTTCAATTCTTGCCATAGTCCATTCAGCAAATGATTCCCTGATAGATGTGTCTCCCAGTTGTAACTCAACCACTGACTACAATTTGTACGGACAGAGATGCAATATCCCATGGAGGATATGACAAATCGCTGAATGAGGCACATCCAATAGCCTTTCAGCTTGGAGAGCACTGGTACTCCCTGTGAATGATTTTGGCACTATATTTCATAGTAGTTTCCACCGCAGTAATTTGTCCCTTTGCCAAAGAAGGTCTTCCACTTCATGGCCAGTCCTCCAAAGAGCCAGTTTCTTCAAATTGTTTGACAAGCTTCAATATTCCAGAACACGATATGGGGGCATTTTTTGTCTTCAGTCCTTTTGCTGTGCGAAACTTTCACAAAGCAACAGCTGCCAACTCTCTGTTCAAAGATAACAACTTCACCAACAATGCTCGCTCAAGTAATGATAACATTCTGAAAGCTAATCCTTGGGCATCACGGTCTTTTAGTGCAAGATTAATTTGCATAATTCTGCTGAATCTCTCATATGTCAGTACCCTCCGCTAGTGACATTTTTAACTAAAATTTTTTTGTTGCCAAAAAAAAAAATGACTTCCTTGTGTGCTCTATCTTGCAAACTACACTTCTTTATCATAATTTCTTCTTTTTTATGAATTTGTAAAGTTTTAAAGCACTTTTAGCTCAGCCTGTATACATTATTTATCAGAAAAAAAAGAGCGAAGAAGTAAATTGGAGAGTCATTTTGGGAACTTCAGAAATTTAAGTTCAAACCCTTGGCTGCTTGAAGGGTTAATGAATATATAACGTAATTACAACCTTATACTACTTTCTTTCTCATTGTTCCGAGGAGTACTAACTATTTGCAAATGCACTGTTTTTAAAAACCCAAAGGCTATACAGAGGTTGGACCAAATCAGTAAGTTCAATGTTGTGGGCCTGATATTCCTAATTCAAAATCTAGGACAACCATTTAATTTTTATCACTTTAAATGTAACTTAGATTTCCTAAGATTTAATAAATTAATTTATTAAATTACAGGAATTTTATACAGGGTCTATAACAATTTAATACAGGGTGTCCAACAAAGGAGTCTGATTTCAAAATTAAAAATCACAAAAACAATGATTGATAGAGGAATACAACAAAATGTATATTTATAGTGAAAGCTGTAAAACTGTTATACAAAAGTTTCCAAATAATACTTTAAAAGCTAAAGGTGCTGTAATTGCAATATGTAGTGTGTATAAATAGCACTCCAAAAGACGTACTCCAAAAGAGTAATTAGTTCTGCCTTTGAAACATGAACGTTTCAAAGACGTAATTAGTTCTACCTTTGAAACATGAAGGGAGGATAGTGTATGGAAGGAAGAGGTTAAGACTATGTATTCCATTGAACAATGCGTGCCCCTTCTTCTGGAATACCAGAGGTTAGATCACAGTCCTATGGCAACAAGTTGGAGTTTTCAAACATGATTGAATGTTCCCAAAGGGCCCGATGTGAAAACCACTCACAAGCTCTTCGCTTAATTTCCAACAGACAGACAGTGTGGCCGATGATCTGGTAGGGAGTTTTAATCACCAGAAAACTGCAGTTACTCCTGAAAATGTTGCAACTGTTACTGGAATTATTCAACAAAATAAAAGGAAATCCCTCAGAAGAACTGCAGCAAAGACTGATTTGAAGTATTTCAGCATGCAGAAAATGCTGAGAAACAGTCTATAAATGTTTCCATTCAAAATCCAAAGTCACCAGGTATCAGTGCACAATGGCATCTGCTGGCACGTTTTGTAACTATTATTTCAAAATTTCTATATAACAATTTTACAGCTTGGAAAATAAGTATATCGCATGTTATATTTCTTTATCGATCACTATTTTAGAAATTTTTAATTTTGAAATCAATGACTCCTTTGCTAAGCACTTAGTAAGACCTAAGCATATGTAATCCCCTTACTTTTAAACAATAATCTACTTCAGAATTATTTTTACTTTTATTATTTGAGAAATTCAGGCAGTTTATGCTACAAAATAATAATAACAATAAATAAACATAAATTAGAAGAGTACAGACTTTTCTTTCTTAAAATTATTAAAGAAAAATATAACATGAAGTTTTACATATTTTAGTTGAGTGGTTTAACATTTCAACAGAATCTTCAGTTTAAGAGAGAGTTTCAAAACATTTTGAAACTTTCTCTTAAACTGAGGAAACTGAGCCATGCCATTTAAGTATAAAAATCAGTTATTTTTAAGTGTATCTAATTTCTAGAAGCAACAATTAATTTCATTACATAAACTTTATAAATTATCAAGAAACATATTTAAATTAATTTTTATTAAATTCTTGTACCTTCAAAAATCATTTTAAAATTTCTTGAAGCAACTAGCTGAATTCAACTAGCATAATTCACCCTGTATACAAACATGTGCATGTGTGTGCGTATATAGTAAAAGCATGACTATCCAGAAAGCTCAGGATATGCCAATTGCTAGATATGTAAAAATCCAACATAGAAAAGCATATCCAAAATGCAATTCATGATAGAAAAGTGAAATGAATGTAAGATTTCTGGTCTAAAATTATAAAATCAGGCACTTTATTTATTAACAAAAGCCACCATTTAAAATTATTTAAGATTTTCAAATTCCATTTAAAACATCTCAACTGGCTATATCTTACTAGCCACAAAACATTGGAATCTCAACAAACTTGCACCAATCATACTAGCATATTTTTGAAAAAGCAGACCGTTGTTTTTTATTTAGTTAGTTAATTAACAGACACCAGTTAGAAATATTACATATAAAAAACTTAAACTGTTTATCATAAATTTTCACACTGCACTGCCATTATTTTTCCATTTTTAAATAAAGTTGCATATCTTTCCTTTAGCTTTCACAATGACGGGATACCGTAAGTTCTAAATACACCACTGCATGCTGTTGCACAGAATGCAGGTCTCAAATTTTGCTCATTTTGTGAGGGAAAGACAGATAAACAGCAGTTAACTTATATCTTTCTTTGCAAAAACTAAACTGGCTTATAGAGTTTATATAAAAACAAAACAAAGATCTCATACCTGTTTGTGGCAACATGTTTATACAATACTGATGCTAAATTGCACTGTCCAGCAGTAGTTTTAGTTTGTTGAAAATGATTCAGTGGGAAATATGTCTTTAAGGAGTGTCCAGTTCCAAGAATGAAATCTTGGAATAATATGATGGAAGATTTTCATTTAATAAATAATCTAAAATTTTAAAATATTCTGTTCGATTGCTGGAAGTCAAGCTTTTACTGTGTATCAGCTAATTTTTATACAAAAGATAAACAAATATTCTACATAATATACATCTGAACGCAAATTATAGTTTTCCCATGACAACTTAAACTCTTTCAGATTGAATTTTTGTGTAAACAATACCGAAAATAAAACATGTAATGTGATAAAATAAAACAAACTTTCAGAAACACCAGGCTCTTTTTTAATTGCACTCGGAGGAATCATAGGTACTGAAATGTTCTGATTTTCTGATGTCACAGGAACATTAGATGGAGTATTTTCCTTAGTTTTCTCACTATAAGAAATAAATTATTTTTATTAATGAAATGGGACAACATACAAATTTGAATTCATGCTGCCTTAAAAAGATATGAATTACAAAAGCTATGCTTTATTGTGCACATATTTCTATTCAAAGATGTTATCATATGCAATATCTCCTTAAAGAAAGTAAAAAAGTGCTATTATTAAAATATGCAAATTTATTAAATGCTACCCTTACATAACTACTAACATAGAAACAAAAGACAAAGTCTCAAAGACATATATATGAAAACAAAAATTTAAGAATAAATTACATTCTAATGAAAAATAATGGAATACACAGCAAAAATACTAAAGCTTAAATACATATAAATATCAAGTTTCAGAATTTTAAAGCATGCACAAAATTAATTATACAGGTATATATTATCCATAAAAACTTCACCTTATTATTACAATTTATTAAATTTATAAATTACATTACTGCACTACTATATATAAAATCAAGTACTTCTTAACAGAATTTTGTTTCCCATTTTAAAAATGTTTATTTTTTAGCTCTATTTGATGACATTAAAAAAATTTAAAACATGCCATTTTACAACACGAAAACCTAATCCCTTTAACTGATTTATTCTGTAAGCTTTTAAACTTATATATACATTACCGTTATACTAAATGTTGATTGTTAAATTTTAAAATTTAGAGATCTGAAACTTAGCAATTGCAATGCCTCTTTTTCAGAAAAAAATACACATGAATATTTTTTAAATTATTAACTTCTCCCCTTACTTTAATAGTAGCTGCTTCAATTTTTATCCATATTAATTAAAAATTGCTACCAAATTATATGACATTAATTTGTTAACGAGTCACAAGTAAATTATAGATAAACTTTACTATTACAAAAAACTAAATATGCACTACAGATAAATTTTTAGGTAGTATTTATTATGGCACTGTATTATTAATATTTTAACTAAAAATCAGATGTTTCAAAAAAATTAAACAGATTTATTTAAAATCATTTCATAGCAGATATATAAAATGAAAAAGTTCTATACCTCACAGGCTTAGGTGACAAAACAGATGTAAAAGTGATATTACTATTTACATCTACACGTGGACTAATGGGTTCAGAATTACATAAATTTGCAGTAAGATTCCGTTTAACTATATTGCAAACACTGAAAAGGAAATAAAAATTGAATTAAAGCACACACCATTTTTACACGGTTTATAATAATTCAAGATAATAATGATGTAATTAATGAAGATAGTAATTATTTATAAACAATATACAAAAATTATCATACAAAAAAAGAAAATACTATGACACGTAATAAAAAGAAGAAAGCATAATATATTACAACAAAATATAATAATATTTAGTAATAATAAATGCACTGTCACTAAACATCATAAATAAATGACTATTTTACAGCAACAATTCACATCTGATACTTTTTAAATACATTTTGTGCAATCCCCTATGTTATATCTTTATGAAGAATAGAAAGGCTTTTATTCTTAACTTTCTTATCGTAGTAACTAATACTTAAAAAAAAAAAGTAAATAAAATAAATAAATAAATAGAAAATAACTCAGAAAACAATTTCAATTAACTTGTTCTTTAAACTACAGTAAGATAATACCGATTTCTCAAATGCCAAAGAGACAGATGGATGAAATACAGTAAAAACACAGAGGAATTCCTTTTCTAAAACTTTCATAAATTCTGTGGCACATTTTCAATAAAAACCTTTTGCAAGAAAAGTTTTAAAACCATGGAATGTTAAAATAAAAGTCAATTGGTTATTCATTGTTAAATTTAAAATATATATATATAAAAATTACAACAGAATAGAAATAAAAAAAAAACTTACGTTTCACCAGTCCGTTTTCGTAGAATGCTTGGCCTAGGAGAAGTATGATTATTTATACCAGACTGAGACTGTTGTAAAGAGTTATATGACGTAGTGACAACACAAGTAACAGCAGGGCCACCAGAAGAAACTGTATTGCTTGAAGGAATAGGTAATGAGACATCTGCACCTTTTACACCTTTGAGAAAGAAAAACTATTAAATATCCATCAAGAAATAAGAGGAATTCAAATCGTACATCATTACAATATTATAATTTTTAAAAAGTATAATTACTTGAACTAGTATTGTACGAGGAATGCAAAGCTACATGATGACGAGAATCAACAGCAACCATCACAGAATTTATGGGTTGCACTGGATTTGAAACAGATATGGAAGGATGAGCAGAAGCATTATTTGAGGCATGTTGTGAGACTGGAAGAGAAAAGAAAACTACTAAGCATACAAATAAATTTAATTATATTGAGCTTTACAAAAAAAAAAAAAAAAAAAAATGCAGCAACTTTCAATGTTCCAATTTAAATATATTTATATTGTAAGCAAACATTTCGGACACACTTTCTATAGGAAACTTTTCAAAATTTATTTTGAGTTGTGCTCACTATTAAGTTACAAACCTACTAGCCAATTAAGCTGCAGTTCTACTAGCCATTAACTACCCTGTCTTCCTTTCTCTCATTTACATCTGCTTAAATGGAAAATCTACATACAGTAAAGGGCTCTTCATAGAGGAATTTCTACCAGAAACTAACTCGTATTTGTCCTTTATATGAATCACCAAGCTAACTACATCGAAGAGCCAAAATATTATGACCACCTATTCAGTAAAGTACTGCGTGACGTTTGGCAAGCAAAACAGCTGCAACTTACATTGGCATGGATGCCACAAATTCTTGGTAGATGACTGGAGACAGGTTGTACCAAATGTCTAAGCAACGATCATGCAAAGTTGAGACATTCTGACATGGTGGTGCTCGAGCTCTGAGCTGCCACTCCATGACATCTCAAATGTGCCCTATCAGATTAAGATCCAGTAAGTTAGGTGGCCAGGATATTAATTGGAATTCATTCCTATGCTCACTGAACCACTCCAACAGAATTTGAGCCTTGACATGGGGCACTGTCCTGTTGGAATATTTCATTTCCAGTTGGGAAGACTGACAACATATAAGGATGCAACTGATCTGCAATTATCTTCAGATAGTTCGCAACTTTCATGGTGTGTTCTACCACAACTAAGGATTCCAGAGCTGCCTATGAGAACAACCCGCAAAGCATAATACCGCCACCACCGGCCTGTGTATGATCTGCTGTACAGGGGACAGGGTGGCAACTGTTCACTTGGAAGACTGTGTACCCTAACATGGCCATTGATGTGATGAAAGATCGTGATTCACCCTAAAAAGCAATTGTCTTCGACTTATCCATATATAAACTAGAAAGCCCAGCGGTCATACGAAATGACCGCTGTTTTAGATATTATGAATTGTAATTAAAATAATTTGTGCAAAGGTGTCTGCTAATTCAAACTGATGTTCAGTTGTGAACCATTTCAAAAACAGATGATTGCTAATGCAAACAAATGTTCACGTTCCCCCTGACATGCTCAATTTGCGTTGAAAATTCAATTTAAAATACAATGTCAGAATAAAATCGGGCAAAATTTTAAACTCTTTACACGAAAGGATATTTAGCATAGGAGTTTGGGTAAACCTACCTGAAAAGATGTACTACGCACAACTCCTTAGTTGTTTTCGTCTCATTTAACTTCTCGACGTTTGCAAGTTTATAGGCTAGTTCATATGTAAATATAGTTAAATGCATAATAAGCAACAATTGCATGAATTAAAAATATTTAAATGTTCTTAAATACCATGATAATTTAATTAAAACAATGATAACTGCATGTATGGTATCAGTGTATATGGAGTATTTAAATGCCATGGCAACTTCACCCTATTGGCTAGTATAGTTACGAAAGCAACCAATAAACTATCAGCAACAAACACACTTAAGCCACATATAATAAAGATATATAATATGTAGATTACTGTTTAAAATACCTTTGAAATGACATCCCAATTGTACAACCCTCATATAACATGGTAGATAGGTTTCTAGAAAATGCCCTGTTGTGTGAAATGTGTTGCACAAGACCCAGAGGCAGTATAAAAAGGGGGGGTTACATTCCGAAAACTTATTAAAAACAAGTATTTTTTTTAATTTTACATAAACAACTCAAATTTTATTAAACATATGTATGTATGTACAACACAAAACAAAAAATATTACATATTTTAATTTAACGCAACTTTAGTTTCATAAATTTCTTAGCTGTCACTGTTTAGTATAATCAACCGAGAACATTTATTCAGTGGATGAGATCGCTTTCATTTTCAGAATTTCTTTCTTCATTTGAAGTTCTGACATTTTTCTTCCCTCTTAAAAAATCTGAAATTTTACTTTGCTTACTAGTTCTTAGCGGGACAATGTAAATTTCTAGATCTGAAGCTAGAGAGTTTTGCAGCTTCCTTTCGAATTTTCGGCTTATTTCAGCGGAAGGGTCTGCAGTCAAGAAAAATGATTCCAAATTTTCAGCTAAACTTATGCCTTCTTTTAATTTTTTTTTTAATGTTAAATTATTAACTGCACAACCTCCATCAGTGTTAGTGTCCTCAGAATCGATTTGATTTACGGCTTCGGATGCCATTTCCATCAAATCTGCTTCATCAATTTCTTCTTCCGCTAGTAAATCTTGAACGTCCTCAATAGCCATGTTGTCAAAACCTTCACCTCCAATTGATTTAGCACACTCTAATAAGCCACCAATTTCATTTTCTGATGATTCAGGCACATTTTTTATTTCAACTAAAGAGAGCTATATCTTCTTCTAACATGCATTTAACTTTGGTGCTTTCAGCTCTTTCAGATATTCTTCTTTTGTCGATACAGTGCTGTCCTGTATGTCTTCCAAGCTTCCATTATATTAATTGATTTTGAATTGGTAACGTCTAAAATCCATTATAATGCTATTCTTATGTAATATGTTTTAAGGTATAAATAATACCTTGATCCAATGGTTGGAGTAACAAAGTAGTGTTAGGTGGTAGGAACAGCATTTTGACATTGGGATGATTCAAATCTTGTGGGTGACATGGAGCATCATCTAATAGTAATAGTACCTTGAAGCTCAAATTTTTCTGCCTTAAATAACGTTCAGCGTCTGGCACAAAACAATTTAAAAGCCAAGCTTTAGTTTCATAATCAGCCGATGCAGATTCTCCTTGAATTTTTATGTTATGAATTGCAAGACTCTTTTTGAAATTTTTGAATCAACCTTCACAGGCCAGAAAATCTGGGTTGACAGAGGGTTCTCCATGTTCTTTGAAGTGCTTGAAAATTTTGAGTGTTTTTTGTTTCATGATATTATAATCCAACAAAACTCTTTTTTTGACAGCTATCATCAATCCAAATGCTGAGTGCCTTTTTCATCTTCTCAATCACTAGCGCCCCGGAAGACGAACTGCATATTTTGAAGATATTGAAGATCCTGCAGCAACTGCATTTCTTTTTTAATTTTTCTTAATAGTTTGGACTGTTTCTTCATTAAAATTAAAACTTTTTCCAATGTGAGATGCCTTTTCTCCTTTTAAAAGACGGTCCAAGATTTGTATCTTTACTTCTAAAGAAATGAATTTCCTCTTAAACTTTTTTATCTTTATTGGACATGTTTTGAAACTGAAATTTAATGTCTTAAAGATGAAAAAGTTATTCTTTAACACACCGTGACTAAACGTAGACTGCCGACCAGCAGCATGAGACACTTTTGTTTAGATGAGGATTTGAATTTTGCAAGCCGAACATGCAGGTTGTGTGTTTTAAAGCACGTCACATTTTTCCCCTTCTGCGATAGTGATGTTTCTTGATTGTTATTTAGTGATTGTGCTCTCTTGACTGGGTATTGTTTCTGTTGCGCTACTGTGCTTTGAGGGTCATGGAAGGAAGCGATTTTCCCCCTTTACCGGTTAAGAAATCAATGTTCGCTCTCCACCACGTGACTCGTCTTTCTGAGGACATTTGTTCTTACATCTATCGGATCTTGGAAGGCAACTGGCAGAACTTAAGAAACAAGGATTTTTACGAGTTAAATGACTATATGGGTGCTTTGCTCAATATGGAAAATCTTCATGCGGAGTTCGCTAAATTTCTTCGGATTGTTTGGGCAGTTTCCTTATCATATTAGAGAGAAACCGTGTCGTAGGAGGGTTCTTGCAATTTATAAATCGTGTTGTAGCGAAAATGTGTTACAGGACGCCGTGTTGTAGGAGGGCTACCTGTATTTACTACACTGCTACAGAAATAGTATTCGTAACATCCACGGAACAAAATACACAATCCCAAGATATAAATGCTCATGAGAATCATGAGATTAATTCTACTTAAATCTAATGGAGAAATTATGTATTGCTGAAATTAATTTTTTTATAAACCCTTCTTCCAATTTGCCTTTAGAATAAATCTTGCAATTTATTCTCTCTCCAGATTTAATTTTGCAATTTATGTCAATTTCGGAATTGATCTTCAAAACTGATCTTTATAATACACGTAGCCCTGTTAGTGAATGCAATTTCAGTTTGCAAATCAAATTCAAACAAAGTGCACATACAATATAATCCAAAGCTATTTAATAATATATACCCAAGTCACTTAAAAATGAATTATTTACTGTTTAATTGTTTTATGATAAATTACTCGACCATAATTTACTTAGAAATGTGCTGTTACTTTCTGTTATCAGATTTTCATTTCATTTATTCATTGATAAGAATAAAATTATAACCCCCTCCCCCCCCAAAAAAAGGAAGAAAGAATACAAAACTTACATGACACAGGCCTGAGTTGCGTAGCTGTAAAACCCTGAGTAGTTGGATTTGTGTTATAAGGATGCATGGCTGCTAAATTTGCAGTATACTGGTCATGATATAAGTAAGTTGCTGGTGATGGTGTGAAGGAGGCACTACTTCCAAGCTGTGGTTTGGGCAGTGCAGAAAATCTAACAGAATTACTGAAAATTACAAATTAATATTTATACGTAAAAATTAAGTAATAAATATCTGTATACAGTTACATGCAGTTACTGCAAAGAGAAATTTCTCAATTAATGAAATTTTACATAAAAATATTTAACTTTCTAATAAATAATAGTTAACCATTTGAGTATTATGGGTTTAGTGCTAAAATTCTAAAACTCCCCAAAATGTTATTAATGAGCTACATTTTTAAAATCGTTAGTAATCAAAATTAATGTAGCTCATTATCCCTAATGTAATGTAATGTTAATCAAAATTAATGTAGCTCATTAATCCCAAAATGTTATTAATGAGCTACATTTTATTCATTATAATTCCAAAGTGACCCTCCTACTTTGTACCTTGACTTGCTGTATTTCTCCAATACATATCCAAACAGAAATCGAATCCACCAGGAGCTGGCAGAAATTTTCATCTGAAATGAATTGGAACATCATCCCTTCATGCAAATTTTTTTATCGTAACCCATGGAAGATTTCACTCTGCGCCTTGACTCCTTCTCTTCGGATATCCATCCAAATCGAAATCACTTTCATCAGAAGCTGGTATAAATTTATATGTGTAATGAATTTGAAAGCTGACCTTCTATGCGGAATTTTACATCCATACTCCTTGGAGAGTTAAAAAAAAAAAATTAAATAAAAAAAAAAAAAAAGCCTTTCTGCACAAAATGCTTCTAATGATAATTAAGGATTGATTCTGATAAAGATAATCATACTTTCCTCATTACCTTGAAGAATTTTTTAAAAGATCCTAAAATTATTTTACATTAATTTTTCCTTTAAACTATTACCAGGTTTATACACATTTCTGCACATGGAAATTCAGTACTTTTACGCATCACCAATGAAAAAATTAAGGACCTATCAGCAAATAGCAACTGAACAAACTAAAGCAATTATCAACACCCGAACTTCACTTTTGTAAAATCATTTTTTGTAATTTCTTAGAAGAAAATAAATCTGCATGTATGATGTATTTTTTTTAAACCTAATCTAATATTTAACTTAATTATGAAACAAATTCAAGAATAAAATCAATGTCAAAAATTTTTTTAAGTAATTAGCATTGAAATGCATAAATTATATTAATTAGCATTAAAATTTTTTATTTTAACTTTATTTCCTAAGTGTAATTTTAATATATTATCATTATTTTTATATTTATTAATGTTACTATGTATGTAAAAAAAATCGTCCAAAAATTTCCATATCTGCAATGAACTAGTCTTGAAATCACCAAAATGTTGATAAGTTGCCAAATTTAATGTTGCATAATAAAAGAACTTGTACTTAAAAAAACTGAAGTTTTTTTATGTAATAATCTATGAACTCTTTATTTACATAAAAAGAAACAATTTTGAAATGTTTATGTTTCCATCTGGTGCCTAAAACTGAAGTAGCCATCAACTCAAGTAGCCACCGTTTATATTAAATAGCAACAAATAACTCAAACATTAATACATACTTGTCAATGCACTGCCAAAAAATATTTTAATATTTTTCCAAAATGTTATTTCACACTAAGAATGGCAGTCATATAAAAGCAGACAGAAATGTCAGATAAGTAAAATTAAGGACCTCTTGTCAATTTTGGGCGAAATTAGACTTTAAGGATAAAAAATCATTTCCAAAAAATATAAAGACTTTTAAGGACTGTTTGAACATTGTATTATGGAATGCAAATAAAGAATGTTCTTAATTTTTTAATTAAAATGTTGTTTGCTCTTCCTAATAAATATAACAAACTGCTAGAATACCTGAAAATGAAACACTTTAAACAGATATTTGCTCATAAAACTAATCTCCAAAAAGCATTAAACAATTTGAGGTATGAATAACTTAATAACATTTTCCACTTGAGAAAAATCTTTCTTAGTACACAACTTATCTAGCCAGAGGAATAAAAAAAAAGCTTGCAAATTATGAGAACAATGCGATAACTTTTAACTAGTCTATAGAACTATTCTATAGTTCTATATTCTATAGTTAACTATTCTATAGAACAATGCGATAACTTTTAACTAGTCATAGATAATGTCTAGCCAGCCTGCACTTAATTCTGTCTCAGACAATTATTATAATACTTTCTGGGTAACTGTTGCTGTCAAAGATTCATTAAAAATATACATGATAGTTACTCATGGCAAATTATGCAAACTACTGCTATTCTGCTATTTTGATTTGGGAAACTTCATCTCCCCAATTTAAGATAGAATCTGCTATAATTATTCTAGAACAAATTAGTATTGGATGAATGTTTAATTTATGAAATATCTACACTATAAACAGAACATGTTACTCCATAAATTAAAAAAGCACATACATACAGCTGTTTCAGAATCAATTTATGGTCAACCAGTAAAATAATTAAAAAAAAATCACTGAAATGCACTGAAAACATTTTTACCTTTCTCCCTGTTTCTCAGCTATCATAACTGTCTGAAGCCCACTAGTTGCAGTAGTAGTTGGCGTAGTTACACGGTTAGCATTCGAAGCTACAGGCTGAGTTATAAAACTATTTGGACGTGCATTTGCATTTTCTTGAGTTGTTTCACTTGCTGTTCGTATTGGTGTTGCAGGTGCCTGAGGATACACTTTGGCTGAAATTATATGTTAGCTATTAAATAACAAAACAAACACAAAAAACTTATGTGGAATTACTTCAGAAAACTATGAAAATAATTACATTAATATATCATGCAAAATTCAAAAATCGGAAGATAAGGAAATAATCTTGGCACGTATGTTAAGGTGCACGATATGCAACTTTATTTGAATATGGGTAAACACTGGTGATAAAATGTAAAAAATTACGACAAACCATTTAAGTATTTTATATGTTACATCCATAACTTGTCTCTGTTGATTATCTAGCTAACAGAAAGTAATCTATTGCTTTAAACTTCTGCCGGAATGACTGGCATAAGTTTGACAGAATTTCAGCTAACTTTCATGGTTGATGGAATATCATACTCAAATAAGACGATGTTTTAATTTATATGAGTGATATATGCATTAAGGAAGTAACTACCCATTAATTAAGTCCCATTCAGGTGCAAATTACTTTTCATGTTCATGTAATATGAAAAATAGTTTTTACTTAAATTCATAAATATAAAAATTAACAAATTATTAATATATAAACTTTAATAAAACATAAATATAAAATAATTATCCACCTCCACCCCAAAAAATATATTCATGAGACAATGCACTATGTCATCAAAATGGGCAACCCATGACTTTGGCAAACTCTATATTTTGAACTCCCACCCTGTTCAATGAAGAACACTGTAGGGAGACAATTTTAAATTCTTTGCCAAAATTATTGATCAGCCATCCGTTCAACATATGCAACCAACTATAAGGCTGAAAGCATTAACACTGATTAACTGCACTTGATTAGAAATTTGGTTAACCTCTTCAACAGGCTCCACTGGTCCTTTTTTTTAACATATAAAGTAACAAAAGAACAGAGTGAGGATGGAAAACATATATAGATGGAAAGAAGACATGATATATATATATATATATTTCCTCTTTACAAATGAGACAAGACATGCACTTGCACTTAAATGCTTGTTAATTCACTCATGTAATATGATTAATTATTTATAATCACCATGCCTTTGTTTTCAATAATATATTTTACAACTCGCGTAAGTGCAGACACACATTTTGTATTGTAGAATAAATCTTTCACCAGAATTTTTTTTGCAAATCCTAGTAAATGCTTTGTTCTAACAGTTGACAGTAATTGACCATTAGCATATATAACGCTTAGTATCTGCTACATATGCTGGTATTGTGTTCAAACACCTTACACTTATTCTTAAGAATCGCTGGAAATAAGATGGAGACCTTCTGTGATTTGTTGCCATTTGTATCAGCAGGAAATTTGTTTTTAATCTTTTTAAGGATATTTGTGGGAAGTATTCATGGGTTAATCTTCCTGTATTTGCCTCGTCCCATCTTTGCCCTTTTATTAAAACTTGTTTAGAAATTTTATTCTTGATTCTACATTGTGAAATATGAAGATAGACATCAATCATATATTTTAACGTTTCTTCCTAGCTGCTGTATCAGCACCTTCATTCACTATTATACCTGTATACCCCAATATCCAATTTAGGTTGAGATGCTGAATATTTATTTCCATATTTGTTGTTTCTTAAAGAATTTGAATAAATGAAAATTTGCGACAACCTAGATGCATACTCCTGCAGCATATTTCCACCTTCAAATTTTATGATCATTTTGATGATTAGTGTTTTTGTTGCATTCAAGTACTTTTTTTTTTTTTCTTCTAAGGAATTGTAATGAACTGTGAAGTCTGTCAGCTGATTAAAAAGAATGCATGCATTCCTTCAGAAATAGTGTTTTGCTCAACAATACAGAATGCAAAAATTCACATTCCACAAAGATGTTCTTAAACAATAAAATTTTATGGATAGAATATTGTGCAATTTTCTGATCTTTTTTAGTAAAACAAATTACGCTGTGTACATAGGGAAAATGTTTCTAAGTAGTCTTTTAGTAAAAAGTCTTTAGTTTCTAAGTAGTATTAGTAAAAAGTCTTTAGTTTCTAAGTAGTTTTTTAGTAAAACAAATTGCGCTGTGTACATAGGAAAAATGTTTCTAGTCTAAAACGCAAAGTTTTTATAAATTTTTTGAAAAACTTTTGTATTATAACCTACGTAATTTTTAACATTATCTTCAAATAGATGTATTTCTAGGGACACCTGCAAAAAATTAGAGTTTTTTATTCAAAATTTCTAAGATATACATAATTTACATATTTGAGCATTTTGAAATTTGGTTTCCACCCCCCTGATAATAACACCAAATATGGTTTATGCATTTGGTAATATTAAATGAAAATTGAAACGATGACTTTTTTCGCACATCTAGAATGGGGGGGAAAAAAAAAAAGAACAGAAAATAGTTTACTATAAATTAAGAAGTTTGCAAAGTAAATCATTCCTGGTGCAAACTGAAAAAAAAAAAAAAATCTGCCAAGATGAATTTTTGAATTTCTCCATAAATTTCACACTAAATTTTACAAAATTTAATATTTAGGCATAATTTGAGTCATAGAATCGAAATATGGAAAAATTGGCATGTGATTTCAGAAAAAGTCCGATTTTGTGTCAAAATACCTATGTAGATTAATACTATACATAAATCTACTATATATCTGCACTTTTGAGACATGAAAAACGCAATTTGAATTTCGTTAATTGGCCCAGTAGAACAGGACATATAGAACAGTCCCCCTTTTTTTTGCGCAATGTGTATGTATATATATATATATAATTTATACCTGTCATCTGATACTAATCAAAGAGCAATCTATTCCTCTAGCTTCTCCCAGAATGAGTGGTATAAGTTTGGTGGAATACGTGATAGCTTTCACGATTGACGAGATGTTCACCATGCATTTTACTTCCATATGAATGTATGACATTTTATGTCTGAAATGTATGCCCCCTAAACGAAATCTCAATTCAAGCTGATAATAAAAATAATGGAAATTTCTTCTCAACTTATTAAGATTTTCTACCATCAATTCCCTTTTTGTAAATTCAATTATCAAAAATTTCCACATATCTGGCTTTTTCTGAGCTTTCCAGATAGTGAAGCTTTTACTACAAAATTCAAATTCAATCATCCATATAATTACTTTCCTGCAATTATAACATAATAATTAGGACAGCAACTGCCCATGAAAATTACAACTGCATAGCTATAACCATGATCATAATTAAAAATTGTAATAAAATACAGCATATCTGAACTGGACAGCCATTTCAGATTACATGATAAAGAATATGACAAAATGGTCACCTTAAAAGAAATGCAACTTTTTCCATCTAGAATCATACTTTAATTTCTCCATACATTCCAGTTCATAGCAGTGACATATTTTATGAATTAATCTTTATTAAATGTAAATAAAAAAGTCATAGTTAAAGTGGTATGCAATTTACAGGAACCATTATCTGTCATTTAAGGCAGAAGTAAATATATGCATGAACATTCTTAAGCAAAAGAGCATGCTTACATATTGTTCACCTATAGACAAATGGATTTGAACAATTCGTGTATGACAAAGTATACATTCTGTATTTAAAAAAAAAAAAAAAGAAAGAAAGAAAGAAAAGAAAATCATATAAGTTTTATAAAATTAGATTGAGATTAGATGTAACTGCCCAAAAATATTAAATGAGTGTTTTTAATTATCATTTATACTTACCAACGGGTATAGCAGCTGAACTCACTGTGCTACTTGCATTTAAAGGTCTTGATGGTGGACCAGGTATGATTGATGAAGTTCCAGATGCAGTTACAGCTGAATTTGGAGTGGCTACAAAAAATAAAGAAAATAAATTAAACTCGTAAAAAATTGTAGTATTATTCTTGTGTCTATCGTCAAGAGATAGTTGGTTAACTGATTAAAACAAACACTTGAAAACTAACTGCCTATGGGAAGGAATCCCTTTGAACGTATCTAAGAAAATTAATTCATATTCATACTAAATATGGGGTAAAAAAATACAAAACTCCTATGCAATTAACACATTCACCAGAAGCCAAATCCGAGTTGAATACAATCTTCAATTCAATTCATTCAGCACTCTTTACCTACTTGCTCAATGGTAAGCCTCCAACAAAAAAACAAATAAATAGTTCAGGCTTATCATTTGATTTATTCTTTACATTTTAACTCCCATAATAATAAGGATTGTTATTATTATTAACCTTCATATCATTTGAAAATAAAATTCAAATTTTTTTTTCACTCCACTGAATTTTCACTTCCAATTTCTAGTCCCTACTCCCTTTTACTTAAAGTGTAGTTTTATTTTATTATCAGTTGAACAAAAGTAGATTAGTACACTGAAACTGACATGCTAAATGTTGCTGATCTTCTAAAAAAATAACTCAATTCTGTGCATATTTTTCAAAAGGTCACTAACTATTCAAAGATTTAATGCAATCCATTCTGAGAAATTTTTTTATCTAGACGGAGGTAAAGTAACACATTGAAACTGGCATATAAAATGTTGCTGATACTCAAGAAAAATCTTTCATGATTTCCATGCATATTTCTAAAAGTGACTAAATATTTAACCTCATTCACGATGGGCACCACTGTTACCGAAGCATTCTGTTGGGACAGCGTGTTAACCGGATACGTCATCTTGTGGGGATGGGCAATTCGCGCTGCTAAGCCTCACTTTGGAAAAAAATTTGTATAAATTAAATTTGTCATCCAATTGTTCCAATTTTTGGTACATTATGAGAAGAACATTCAGGTAGTTGTCAGAATTAATTTTAAACCTTTATTGTTATATTTTCCTCAAAAATTTTATAAAATACTCATTCTAGAATAATATAATTTTTCCTTTATCCCACAATTAAATATATATGGAAAAATATCCAAACAATTGCAGATTTTATTTAACACAACACACATAATTAAAATTTTAAAAATATTAAAATTGCCTTTCATACAAATTCAATGTGAAAACAACGAAAAGAAAGCAATATTTCAAAAAAGAGACAGTGTATGATATTCTTTGAAACATGGGTGTATGCAAAGTCCAACATTGCAAATGTCACAGGAATAGAATATCAGCAAATTTGACTCAATTTAGCATTTGTGTATCTTCTACGGTCAGATAGCGCTTTCGTTTTGCCATTAAAAAAATAGAACACCAGCAATAGAACATTTAAAAAAAAAAACTTTCGCTAAGCCATACAAAATATTCGTCTCAATGCCGAAAAAATCTAACAGTAATAAAAAAAGTCTCTAATGATAGAACATCTACACTACACGGGGATAAAAAAATAAAATAAATTAATTAAATTAAAAAGTATTCCAGAGCATTCAGGAACATGTTTATTTGTTTATATGAAATGACCCAGTCGCATTTGTTTTGATCAAATGACCCAGACAATACATTGCTCAACACCCACCCACGAATCTCCCCCTCATTCCGAAACAAAATACCAAAAATAAAAAACATTGCGTAGGAATGAAGGCACATACTTAACTTTTGATATATTTCCCAATAACAGACATACAGCCTACATCTAGTGTCAGCAAAAAATACTAATTAAACGTTCTATCTAAAAAGCATACAGTGATTAAATGGCGATTCAAATATGACACACCTGGCCGTGAGGTAATGTTCACTGCTGATGCATATATAAACGCCCGTGCCGAACGGGTTAAGGATATATATTTTCTACTTTCAGAAAATGCTCACTCAAGATGATCATTCACAATTCCAGATGGTTCCAGTCTTCTGTGAAGATGGTTGCCTTAGAAAAGATGATAACAGTAACAGTGACAACCTAATTCTAATGGATTTACTATCTTGGAAGCTTGTGAAAGAAAAATACTGGTTTAGAAGTAAGACTTATTTTATCTTAAGCCTACTAGAGTCTTGTGACAGAAAAATGCTGAAGTAGAAGTTTTGGTATCTAACTCAATATGTTATGTTGACACTCTGACAAAGTTCTTTTTGAAATCTGTTCATGAAAAACTGTATTTAGGCAGATTTTATTAGCTAAATATGTATAATTAACCTTGGTTCTCGACCAAATTTTCCAAAGGAACAACTTCTTGTATGAAGAGCAATGTCTCGGGATACAAAGAAAGAAGGCAGTAAAAAATTACATTTCAAAATCTAGTGTCTTCCAGAAAAGAAGACAGAAAGGATGATGTTCCTAGTTATTTGATCAGAAAAGAAGATGGAAGGGATGATGTCCCTAGTTATTTCATCTGCAAAATGGGATCAGATGCAAAGGTTCATGGAACATTATCACATCCTGATACAGCAGCTGTGAGCTATCTGTACAATACATTTTAGAAGACTGAAACAAAAATATTTAGAAGTGTTTTGAATTACCTGTTCTAGCTGGTGGTGTGGCCAAAGCAATGGAATGATTTGTAGGCATTAAAGACTTTGCTGAAATAACAGTAAGAGTTTGGTGTGGAGTAACACTGGTGGTAACATTAGTTAATGCATGCATAGCTTGTGGCACATGGGTAGCTCGAAGTTGCTGCAAAGACTGTGCAACTGTAGCAGCAGATGATAGTTGCATAATGCCTGTAGAATAACCAGTAGAAACAGCAGTTCTTGATATGGTGGGAACAACTCCAATATTATCGTTAGTAGATGCAAATGTACCCGGAACAGTACTCTGATGTGCTGGAGTGGAATTACTTGGAGAATTGGTTGTAGATGACAAATTAGAAACAGTCTTTAAACTTCCTTTATCATAAACCTGTAAATAAAAATAATAATTGCCTGATGATGATTGCTTTTAAAAGTATCCAAAATAAAATGAATGAGAATTTCTCACAGTAAAATGCAAAACAATATACATATGTTTTTATTTATAAGCTAGAGCTTTAATCAAACAAATGCATGCATCATAAAATTCCTCAACCACTTAATTAGTAATTTTTTTTCCTTTGCTTAGAAAACATAAAGAAACCTCATATCTGTAAGAAAAGACAATCAAGATGACTCAAACCATGTACATTTTTTGGGGGGGGCTATGACATGATGATGAACTGCATTGCCATCAAACTTTATATGCGAAATCACTTCATTTTATTTTTACAGTACATATCGAGTGGCAGTATTACTTTTTCTTGAAAAATATGTGTCATTTATTTGTTGGAAGATTTGGTGTGTGTTTATAAGTGCATTAAATGTCATTTATAAATTTTCATCCCATTTTTAAACAACTACGATGTATTTTTAATAATTTCCTTAACACTGTAACGAAGTGTAAATAGTAATTTTAGCTTAACTAGTACATCAGCACATTTTTAAAAAAAGTAGCACTTTGCACAATATTTTAAAAAAGCATACTTACAGCAATACATTTAAAACAAGGCAATTGGGGAAAAATATATTTTCAAAACTAATTGTGTACATGTAAACTGTAAAATAATGTACACATCAGAATATGGCCACTTCTCACCTTATGAACTTTCACAGATATGGCCAAGCTTGTTCTCAGACTTTTTTTTTTTTTTTTTTAAACAAGAAAGGCTGCATGATGCATACTGCAAAGGTATGATCCATCTCAAAGAGCAACAGACAGAGAAATAAGAAGCGCCTATCTCAGTGAAAAAGTTCGATACAAATTAGCAGCGGCGTTTTACAAGTTTAAAGAAGGCCTCATATTTTTGAAGACCATGACCCAAATTCTGAAAGGTTTGCTATGATGCCTTTCAGTGTTATTGCCTTATTTACAATGAAAGAAAAAGAAAATTTGTTCAAGTAAGTTAAGACTTAAGATATTGTTAAGAAAACCTGCTGCCAGATCTAACACGCTAACTCCTTCTACCTCCCATATAATTTCCTCATCACAAATATCCTCTTTAACTGTCAATGAGTACTCAGAGGGCGAGTCATATTTTGACTCAACTCTACCCATGCAATGATCTTCTACTCTCATCCTCATCCCAACAACAAATACCTCAAAGATGGCAATCCAAGCTATGCACTGTAAAGAAATTATTTATTTACAATGTACTGTTTATAAAATATAATATGCATTATTTGTTTTGGTATTATTAATCATTTATTTGATAGTGTTTATAGCTCTTATCATACAAACATCCTTATGAGATATGCATAGCATTTTATGAGACTTAATAACATTTTATGAGCAAATTCTTAACAGAAATGTTGATTTGAAATGGAACTTTGTTTGTTAAGCTGCTGTTCTTTGTAGCTTTCAAAGAATGAGAGATGGGCATCCTTTTAATCATTCCATCAAGGACTGTGAAAAACATGTTCATATTTATCAAGTAGCAGGCAACACCAAATAACAATAAGCATTATTGCATATTAATATCTTAATATTTAATTACTATTATAAAAAGGTTTTTCTCAATTTCATACCTGCTGCAGATGTTGAACTATTGGTTGTGAAATATTAATTGGCTTAGCGATAGTTATTGATGATGATGAATGAGAGCTTCCAGATCTAACAACAGATCCATCAACAGGGCGAGTACTGAGTCCAACATGAGCAGTGCTAGATGGGATTGTGTGACCAACAGAAGACCTTTAAAGATGGAAAAGTACAAATTTATACTTCTTGAAAGAAATTATACTTAAATAATGAAGTAGGAAAAAGTGTAAGCATTCAAGTAAGATTATTAATGAATATTTTTATTGCTCTTGATAAAAAGCAGTAAATGAATAAAAATGAAGTAATTTTTTAGAACCCTAATTTTTTTTTTAGAACCCACTATTTTTTAAGCCTATAAAGCTTTTCAACCTACGATAAAGATAATTTACTAGATATGTACTATTACAAGCACTACACTAGGGATCAGTATAGTGCAATAGCAGTCTGACAGTATTTAATTTAGTAACACTTCCTCATTAAATTCATTTTCGCAAATTCATTTTTATTCATTTACTGCTTTTATCAAGAGCAATAAAAATATTCATTAATAATCTTACTTGAATGCTTATACTTCTTCCTACTTATATATGCACAATATACATACACATTAAAAGAATAAAAAACTATTAATAATAATAAAATAATGAAATATGCTCAAACCAATCTGTGAACTAAACAAGACATTATAAACTGCAGTAAATTTAATAATACAAAAAAGGAAAAAAATATATTTTTCCCAAATAGTTAAAATTTGATATTTTATGTATAAAAAAATGTGTGTCAATACAAAAGATATAAAAAATTCAAGAGATAAAACAACAACTCGATATATCAAAATATAAGAGAGCAGTATAAACAAATGAGTCAAAAAAATAAACAAAGTATTACATATCTTCAACGGGTTGGTGCCAATTTTCTAAAGAATTTTATTATACTCTCTTATATTTTAATGTTATGAATTCTTGTTTTATTTTTAAAATTTTTTCCTCCTTTATTTTAATGTGTTATAGGTCCCATGATCTGATTTACGATGTATCAAGTTCCTGTTTTTAGCCCAAGAATGGTATTAATCTCAAACCTGACTTTTTCATTGAATGACTGATGCCAGTATTGTTTTTCAAGTAAACAAATGCCACAATGTTGCTTGAATCAATTGTACTGAGGAAAATGATGCTCCAAATCATACTGATCAAGTATGAGTGAGTGAGTGATTATGGCGCAAAAACCAGAGACGGTTATGACGCGCCAAACACAAGATGGGATGATTACAATTGATGACATTAAAATTCAATCAATAAAAACAAGTAGATAAATGTACCAAATCCAGAGGATGAAGTCATATAAACACAAGTTAAAAAGCACATATTAAAATTCAAGACACAGTCTTCAAAACAAATTACATTTGGTAATAAAAGCCAATCTCTTTTAAATAATAAAATAAATTACAATTCACCTCTCTTCCGATTAAACGGTCGAGAGGTAAGTCACAGCTATTAAAATATTTCTGGCGAAGACTATTAAAACATGGACACTCAATTAAAATATGACGAACAGATAAACAAACATTACAATTCAAAACAAACAGGCTCATTTTCAGCTTTGAGAAAATAGTTATGTGTGACTCGAGTGTGACCAATTCTGAGGCGAGTCAAAAGAACGTCCTCCTTACGATTTCCAACAATATCCCAATGCTCAATTCTAGGCTTGACGTCAACTTGTTGTGATGCTGAACATCCCAAAATTTGCTGCCATTTTTTTCGGACCTTTCCCTTGATGACATTGCAGATATCTCTAAAAGGGATAAGGCGACTGGACAGTTCAACAGCAGATTTTGGCTGCGATATCTGCAAGCTCATTTCCCTTTATTCCAGCATGTCCAGGAACCCAGCAGTACAGGACTTCATAACCTCGAATCATTAAATTTATATGAATTTTGAGAACATCCACTACCACAGGATTCTGAGTTGTGGGAAAAGCTTCCAAGGATTTAAGAGCACTATACGAGTCTGTGTAAACTATGAACTTTTTGTGGCAGAGCTTTGAGATATACAAAAGACCATAATATATAGCAGTCAGTTCAGATGTTAGGACTGAGAAAGCATGGTGCAGGCATCTGCCCTCTATGTAATTTTCAAATACAAAAGCCATCCCAACATGATCATTTGACTTTGATCCATCTGTATATATCGGATAATAACTGCTATATTTGTGCCTGTGCTCAGCAAAGAGTTGTCTATAAACGATCTCGTTAGTGCTTGCCTTCACGTGATGTTTGAAAACATCAAGAAGCTGAATCCGTGAATTTTCCCAAGGTGGGATTTCAAAGTTCTGTACTGCTTGGGGGCGCATATCAGAGAGGGAAAGTTCCTCAATGACAGGGCGAACTCTTAAAGGAAAAGTAGGAACACAGGATGGACGTGTTTCAAATAATGTGTTACACTCATTATCAAGTAAGCACAGCTTATTGGGATGTTCAGGTTGGGATAAGATATTAAAATATTGTAAAAGGGACAATTGCTCACGCCTCAGATAAAGTGATGGTTCGTTACAGTCAACATATAGGCTCTGCACAGGAGAAGTCCTGAAGCTCCTGAACAAATCCGCAGACCTTGATGGTGAACAGGATCCAGTTTTAACAAAACAGATGACCGAGCGGATCCATAACAACTGAGCCATAGTCCAGTTTAGAGCGGATAAGCGCTCTGTAAATGCGAAGCATGGAGCAACGCTCTGCACCCCAGGAGGTGTTCGCCAACACTTTTAAAATATTTAGTGTTTTTAGACACTTCTTTCTCAGGTTTAAAACATGAGAAAGGAAAGTCAATTTTCGGTCGAACGTCACTCCTAAAAATTTTACTTCAGGCGCAACTGGAATAATTGTACCATTCAAATATAACTCAGGTTCAGGATGGAGACCTCGCTTCCTACAAAAGTGCACGCACACAGTTTTCTGTTTCGAAAATGTAAATCCCTGTTTGTCTGACCATTCTTGGATCTTATTCAGAGCCATCTGCAGTTGCCTCTCTACATATCTCATGTCTGCTCCTCGACAGCTAATCTGCAGATCATCAACATATAGAGATCCCAAGATGGTGGGAGGAAGTTCTTTTAGTACAGAATTTATTTTTAAACTAAACAGGGTTACACTGAGCACACAGCCTTGAGGCACACCCTCTTCCTGTTCAAAAACATCCGAAAAAACAAAACAGAGCCAATTCTTACTTGAAAAGTTCTAGTGTTCAAGAAATTTTGAATGAAAATTGGTAGGTTGCCGCGCAAGCCACTCTCGTGAAGATCCCGGAGTATACCGTATCTCCATGCCTTATCATAAGCTTTTTCAATGTCGAAGAATATCGAGACAAGGTGGCTTCTTCTTACAAATGCTTTTCGAATAGATGTCTCTAAGAGGAGCATGTTATCTACAGTTGTTCTTCCCTTTCGAAAACCACTCTGATAAGGCGATATAATATCATTCTTTTCCAAGAAGTAGACTAGGCGGCTGTTTACCATCTTTTCAAACAGTTTGCAGAGGCAACTCGTAAGGGCAATTGGCCGATAGTTGGAGGGATTCCTTGGATCTTTCCCTGGCTTAGGAATAGGAATGACAATAGCTCTCCTCCATGCACTGGGAAAAGGCATGCTCCTTCCACACTCTATTGTAAAGAGTGAGAAGGGCATTCAGTGACTTACAGGACAGATGCTTTAGCATTTCATAATTCACTCCATCAAGACCCGGAGAAGACCTATGTGTCTGCAATAAAGCTCTCCTTAATTCAAGCATAGTAAAGTCTCTATTGTAAGGCTCAGATTTGGAAGAGTTGAATGCGATGGGATTTATTTCAGAGTGCTGCTTCATAGAAAGAAATGCAGGTGTATAGTTTCTGCTGGAAGAAACGGAAGCAAATGTCTCACCAATAGTATTCGCAATTTCTTCTATGGAGCTAATCACTCGGCCATCTTTTTCCAAAAAGGAAAGTGAGTGGTCTTTATATATGCCGCATGCTTTTCGAACTCTTTCCCAAACCCGCTTACTAGGCGTGGAGGATGTTATTGACGACACATATGAAATCCAGGAATCCCTCTGGCTCTGCCTTCTTATTTTTCGTGCATTTGCTTTGGCTCTTTTAAAGGCTATGAGGTTTCGCAGAGTAGGATATCTACGAAAAATACCCCATGCTTTTTTCTGTTTTTTCAGTGCTTCATGACAGTCGCGATTCCACCATGGTTTCGAATATTTTAGTATTTTTCCTGATGTTCTAGGAATCGAAAGCATAGCTGCCTGAATAATAGTATTAGTAACAGCTTCAACAGCGTCATCGATATGCACATCTTCTACCATTTCATCTGTGAGCTCTGCAATGGAAGAGAAGAGTTCCCAGTCTGCCCTGTCCAGTATGAATCGAGGGGATCTCGACATGGGGTTTGCTCCTCTTCGTGCAAGAGACACAAGAATGGGATAATGATCACTGTTGTAAAGATCTTTACCCACATTAAAAAGTGCAAAAAGGCAACAGAGATGGTGAACAGATGGCAAGGTCGAGAGCATGGAATGTTTTTGAAGGCTCATGGAAGTAAGTATCTTGCCCATTATTGAGGAGACAAAGGCTATGATCTTCGATCATCTGCTCAATTTGTCTTCCTCGGCAATTAGTATCCTTACTACCCCAGAGCGGACTATGGCCGTTAAAATCTCCTATTATGATGAAAGGCTCAGGCAGCTGCTCTAAAAGACCATTTAAATCTTGCTGATCAATATGCTCATTTGGAGGCAAATACAGAGAAACGACTGTAACAACAAAATCAAAATTTGTTTGAGTAGCGACAACTTGGAGGGATGTCGTCAAAGAAAGCACATTTGAGGGATAATCCAGTGAGGTGAGGAGACCTACACCTCCACTGGCACGCTCACCTGCAATGTTATCTTTCCTGACGAAAGAAAACCTCCGAAGTTTTGCTTGTTGTTCCGGTTTTAGATTTGTTTCCTGTATTGCGAAGCATAAAGGTTGATGAACATTGATTATAGCTTTGATGTCAAGCAATTTTCGGTGGAAACCGCGACAGTTCCATGATACGAGGGTGGCCATTATGAATGGTTTTTGTTCTTTCTGTGCTCTTGTTTGGTTTTTCGTGGAAGTAGATGCCTTGGGAAACTT